GTTTACTAGGTTCATATCCGCACCTTCAGTGTAGTTGTTATTGACAGCCTAATCTTGCTTCGGTAAATGTGCCGTAAATAATATTCTGAGTGCGTAATAGCTGCGGATGATGTAATAACGCCCCAATGCTCAATACTGTAGAAGACTGGTGTCTCAATAATATAGAAGCACTATGATGTTCTTTTTTTTTCTGTAATTTTAACAGTTCGCTTTTCTTTAGGGTGGCTGCGAACAGTTTCCCGCACTTTCCAGCGGTAAACTCTTTCGAGAATTAAAGGTTTCTCTGAATCTTCTCCACATAATTTTTTTCAACTTTGCAAAGAGTTGCATCTTAACATACTGACCATTCCATAATAATAATAAAAAGGTTCTTGAGTTCGCTTTTGAGGTAGAAGCATTTAATGCTAAAATTGAGTGTGTTTTAACAAGATTTACGATTACTATGGTAACCTGTTATCCTATGAAGATAGCCACAACCTGTCGACCAATGATTGGGCATTTTCATGGTATTAATATTGTAAACTCTGTAGGGGAATAATTGCTGGAAACTGTTGGAAACTGTTGCCAGCCACCTTTTAAAACTATTTCTAACTTATCTAACTTTAAAATACAATCTATCATGTATACAGCTCTCCCAGAGGAAAAGATAAAGAAGGCCCGCCCAAAAATCACGTGGCGTTAAACTCTGGAGAAGGAAGTGGAGCAAATGGGAAAGACCTGGAGCAGCATTCAAGTCACGGCAAGGGACCGGCAGATGTGAAGAAATTACGTGCTGCGCTACAGCTACCCGGCGTAATGGGCATGAGTGAGTGAATGCATCAAGAAGACGCCTGTTTCTAAACTAACATGAAAAGACCACGACGATTTCAACTGATAGGACGGTTTCGTTCACGACTGGATCTTTATGCAACAATCACAACGACAACAATAACATTATTATGGATGAGTGGCTCGTAAATGTAGTTTAAAATCGGGTTTCGAGATCTAACTGAGCACAATTTTTGACATCTCTAACAGGTAACTATCCTAATACCTTTTAAGCTTTAAATTTATCTGACCTTTATCGGCGTCAAGATCTTTGAGCAGCTTCGCGAAAAGCCCCCTTAATCTTTACAATGACACAACAGTGAAATATTCGCATAATAATGTTTGAGCTGAAACCGTTTAAGCGAAAAGCCTATGTATAATTCCTTTGAAAAAATTCAATTGCGTCATTCAGTTTAACCAAAAGATAAGAAAACGCGTACCTATTGAATTGCGGAAATAAAGGATTTACGACGCAGCGCAAGTCGAACCGGCTGAAGAAAAACTGAGTACCTTGGTGACCTGAAAGAAGAGATGGAGGTATGTGCTTTTTTTCCACAGGCACGTTCACGTTCAAGTTGATCGGTTGAAGGTCTGTCAATCTATTCTGAATTAGCTCCGTACAGCTAGTATATCATGTGATTTATTTTACACTTATTTCTTGCTCCATATAATATCCATCTCTAAAGCAGCGGGATTACATTTTGTTGAGTTCTAAGAAGTTCTATCTATACCGTTTACCCATGCAACTGACTGAGTAAATACGGGCTTGATCTATTCTAAACCTTCATAAGTTGTTGTGCAAGTGCTTCAATGCGAAAACTATCTGCATTAACACTTCAGCATCGTAGATTATAGTATTTGGGAAGTGAATTCTGAAACACTTGAGGTTGATAATCAATAAGTATTAGTTTGTTAGTAGTATAGTTTAAGAACTTTATTGTATCTTGTTGTGCATTAAAAGAAATAGAGTAACAAGCTTGGGAGAGGTACGAGTGACAAGTGTTGACCAATTACAACTAAACAGTTGATCAGTGTTAAAACCACAGATAAAAGCATCGAGTGTTAGAGTACAATTTCAAGATAGTTAAATCGGGGTAAGTACGAACTTCCGGAAGCAGGAAAATTTAGTTTCGAAAGTTGTTTTCGGTGATCTTAAATTATCATATTCGACATTGTGCTGTTGGAGACAATCGTTCCATTCAAACCGGGTGTTTTTTCGATTTCTTTTTGATAAGTTCCGGGCCGCTTTCCGTTTGACGAAAATAATATTCTGGTTTGAATTTCCAGTGACGAATGGAACAGCCTCTTCTAGAAAATCTGGAAACGAGGACAACTGCCGAGGGATATATCCAAATTTTCGGAAATTTCGTAGCGGGAATCTCAGTTCTTCTTGATTTTCCTCTCGGAATGTTCGGTTGAATGGTTCGCATTTCGGAAATTCAACAGTTTTCGGATTTTGCGAACGTTTGGTTAAATGGAAAGCGACTCCGGTTTTGGAACAGATGAATTAGAAGATTCAGTGGTACAAATCGTTACTAAAAAGGTACAGCTTACTAGCTTTTAAAGGGACTTTTTTTGGGCGGGGGGAGGTGTAGAGCTTAAAAATGGGGCTAAAACATATACTGTATCACAAATCATAATTAAGCTAGTGCACAACATATTGTTGTTAAGTATATGGCAAATTCTAAAATATTTTAGTTTCCTTTAAATATATTTTTCTCCTGTTTATAGAGTGTTGACTTGCTATGTTAGAAGGCGGGGCGTGGAGATCAATAGCAAATTGTGGTTTCGATACCCCAACTTGAAAGCAGAAAATGCAGGTGTTTCTTGTCTGATGTTTTTAAAATGAATCACAGCCTTATTCATTTTCTGCTCCTTATGTTAACATTGAGACTGTGCAGGATAAACAAGGCTCTGGAAGCCGTTTCTACCTGGTGATGAAACGTTTTCCAACCATGATTGAAAAACGTTACTCTGGTTTAAACAAATGTAAAAATGTTAGTAAAAATTTTTTGTAAAAGTCCCAACGTTTCGGCTAAAACTTCAGCCTTCATCAGGGGAAAGTGACTAGGAATTTGTTAAAAAGGCACGTTCTTACACTATGCAAAAAGCTGACTTGTGTGTGCACACAAGTCAGCTTTAGCGGAACATTTTTTACACTCTGGCCACACCATCTCCTGGGAATCTTCAAAGATTTTACGTACAAGCACAACTTGGCGCAACAGACGTATTTTAGAAGCATTGGGAAATTAACACTTGTAGGAATCCGCTGAACCGTGATGATGGCATACATTTGCCGCACGAATTTTTAAATTTAGCCCTAAGGGACAGAACATAATTAGCTCCGATTTGCATAGTATAAGAACGTGCCTTTTTAACAAATTCCTTGTCACTTTCCCTTGGTGAAGGCTGAAGTTTTAGCCGAAACGTTGGGACTTTTACAAAAAATTTTTACTAACATTTTTACATTTGTTTAAACCAGAGTAACGTTTTTCAGTCATGAATCAACCGCCTGGTTACAGGACCATTTTTAAAAGTTTTCCAACCAATTCAGCCGCTCGAAAATCACTGGTTTGCAGCACATACCGGCGCCATGTTCTACAAATATGAAAACGCAGCTTTATTTCTCCGACGTAGTGTGAATAAGGGCCTTATTCAATTTGACCCCAAAATTTGTTTCCTTGATACGCAGTGGTTTATTTTTACAGTGGATTTGTAAGTCATATAGAAATACAAAAGTGTTACAGAAGTTCGACGTGCAAAATGCAGAAAGAATATGCAAATTACACGCATTCTAGCTATTTTTGATTGCACCTCTTACGTTGTTTAGAAAGTTTTTTAAGGGGTTTTTCCACACACCTGGAGTATTTTATTCAAGCTAGTCAAATGCTTACTCAGGCAAAAGCAAGTTAGAGAATACCAGAAGTGTAACTTGCGTAAACAGGAACTTCGGTAAACCTCTTGCACTAGTTCTGTTCATTGTCGGTGAGTGGTGTCAGAATGTGGTTTGTAGCTCAGTGTTTCGCAAGCGTTGCAGCTATTTTCCACGTACCATATTCGACCGGTCGAGGTGAAATACGTTTCAAAACTCAAGTGATATCGTAGATTGCGTCTTCATCGAAGGTTTGTCGTCAAAATATGTTCTTATAAATCCGCCCAAAGCCCAAAATCTCCCACCGCTTTCGCTTGACACATTAAGAATTAAAAATATAGAAATATTTAACGATTATATAAGAGATTAAGATATGAGACACACTTAAATATTAAAAAGCAAAGCAAACAATTTAAACAAGTAAATTAAAAATTTAGATGATAAAATGGTCCAATTCCTTATAACTGTCCATAAAAGTGTATAAGTATTTAGCCACAGCTGACACCAACTTGAATGATCCTACTGTATTAAAAGGCTTAAATATTTACTATACTAAGATAATTAAAGTTACAATTCTAGAATAATTAGCAATTATTCGACAAGGTTGAGTAAAATATTGTGATTTGTCAGTGGCGAGCAGATCAATTATTTGCCGAAGTCGAACGCCGAGGCAAATAATTGATCTCCGGGACTGATAAATCACTATGTTTTGAGGTAACCGAGTTCAATAATTATTATTCTATCACCGTGGAGTTTTATTTTTACATCACTCTCTAACAGCTGAGAGAATATCTACCATTTTTACTCGAGAGTGTGGTTTCAATTACGCATGGCCAGAATATTGGCAGCAAAACACATTTGGCGGTGCTACGTATAAGCAGACCACTATTTGTAGGCAGTTATTTACTAGTCAGGTGGTGGGCTCTCGGCCATTGAAAAGGAAGAAAAACATGCATCAAATGATAATTAGACTAAATTATTTATAACGTCATCTGTTCACTAAAAAGGTTTACAGCAATTACTGTTGTAGGTTACATATTTTGATACATAAGGAAACGGCTAGTTTCCAAGGCAACATGAAAACAGTAACCTAAATATCTAAGCCGATATATTGTGATCGTTAATAGATCCTCATGATTGAGTTGGCAATAAATGCAACATAAAATCGGGTTTCTTACTGAACCCAAATTTTAGACATGTCTAAGAAGTAACTGTCCTTATCAGCCAGCTTCAAACTTCAAATTTATCTGATCTTTCTGGGCGCAAAGATCTTCGACCAGCTTCGCGGAAAACCCCCTTAATCTTTATAATGACACAAAGATGTTTTCGGTAAAATGTTTGCATAATAATGTTTGAGCGTTTAAGCGAAAAGCCTGTTTATAATTGCTCCGGTTTCAGTTACGAAATACATACCTCTTGAATCGCGGAAATAAGCATTCACGACGCAGTCAAAGTCGAACCGGCTGAAGAAAAACCGAGTACCTTGGTGCTCCTGAAAGAGATGGAGGTATGTGCTAGTTTTCCACATGCACGTTCAGGTCGAATTTTGATTCTTACTTCTCTTAAAGAGTTCAAATTGATCGGATGAAAGTCTGTAATTGTACACTAAATTAGCTCCGTACAGCTAGTGTTTCCTGAGGTATTGACTATTTACCCATGAAAGTGACTGAAGAAATACCGGCTTGATATCCGGTCTGCTCTCAGCCAACATAAGTTGTGCACACATATAAAAGGATTCGGAGGTGCAGTCGTCTCCGGATCGAGCGGTCCGGGTTCTAGCCCTGGCCGGGGGTATTGTGTTGTGTTCTGGGGAAAAACACGTTACTCTCTCATTGCCTCTCTTCACCCAGGTGTATGAACGGGTACCGGCGACCTTAATACTGTGGGTAACCCTTCGGTGGATTAGCATCCCATCCAGGGGGGGAGTAGAAATACTCCTAGTCGCTTCATGCTACGGGAACCGGGATAAGCTCCGGCCTCATGAGCCACTTAGCTCGTATGCAGACTTTGCCTACTCTACCTTACTTATAAAAGCGGAACTGGGACCAATTTTAATTTTACAAAATAAGGTTCTCAAGGTGATTGACTTTTATGGGTAACGGCGAACTCGATGATAAACCCTGTATTTTTACAAAATAAGGTTCTCAAGAGTGATTATATTCGGTTCAGCAGAGCCTCGCGAGCAGAGCAGCAAGTTAGAATCTAACTTGATTACTATTCACGGTGTTTCAGCAACGAGGAAGGAAAAAACACCATTAGACGTACTTGTGCTGTTTCCTTCTACCACGCTGAACATCTTGGATCCATAACAATTTTCGATATTGTGGCGTACTTGACCAGTTACAAAAAGAAAGTAGATCAGGATTAAAATCATGGACAAAAAAAGTGTTTCGAAAGTTGTTTACGATAATCTTGAATTATCGTTCTCTGTATTGTTGGAGACAATTGTTCCATTCAAAGTGAATGCCGTCTGTTTGATAAATTCCGTTTTTCACTTTTTGTGTACGAACTGAAAAAACACCTAAACACATTGCTGGAGCTATCGGCTAATCAGCATCGGCACAGGTGAATAACTGAAACAAAGTCATGCGTACCGTAAAATCGTCACTACGCCTGTGTTGTTTACTACCTTTTGCAAAGGATTTTTTGGGGGGGGTAGGAGGGAAGGGCTCCCAGGGAAGCTTAATAGTGGGAGATTATGACTGGTACTCTATTTAAAATCATAATTTAGCCAGAAAACAGCATAATGTTGTTCAGTGCGTGGCAATTTCGAAAACGTTGATGATGCTTCAAAATATTTTTTCTCCCGTTCACAGTGTTGGATTGCTATCTTATGAGGTGGGGCATGGGAGATTAATATAAAAGTGTGCTGATAAATATACTGAAATTGAAAGCAGAGATAACAAAAAATTTTTTCTTGTGTTTTTAGAATGAGCCACAGCCTGGTACATTTTCTGCTCCTTTTGTAACCACTTCAGCCGCTCTAAAATCATTGGGTTGTGTCACATACGCCCTGTTCTACATCTGGCAAGTTATCGGTTTGATCCTGTACACCATTCGTGCCTTTGAAACGAGTCTCTTGGCGAAACATACCAGCTTTCAGTCGACGTACATCCCGACGTTTCATCACTCTGAACAACTGCAGCTGGCCTGGTCCATGTCTCAGATACTTAACAATGCCTTGGTTATTCTGGCTGTGTCAAAGGTTCCCTCGTTTCTGGGCTGTACCGCCATCCTAAGATTGCTTATTCGTCTACCGGGGTTTTGGAGTCTTCTTTCCTTGTTTGTAATGACTATTGTAGGCTATGGAATGATTCTCTCACTGGCAAATAACAAAATGGAAATCGCTTTGATTATGGGTTTTGCGATCGACAATGGAATTCAAGTCGTCTTAATTTGCCTTCTTAATTTCACCCAGGTAAACCACTCTCGAGGAGAATTTCCTTTTAAAGTGTTTTGTTTTGTTAAGATAAACATATTCCTTTTGGTTCTGTCGTATTTCTCAACTTTTGTGATTGGCTCGGTACAGTTTTCTCTTCGTGTTTATGGTTTTGATGAGAACACGGGAATTTCTGATGAATTTCGCGCTTTATTTATCGCAGTACGGAGATTTACGCAGATTCTATACTGCTACAAAATCTTTGTATTTTACTGGGAAAAGTTCCTTGTTGATCATAGGAATATCCTACAGTGTCGCTACGATTATTTAGATGAGTTACACGAAAGCAGTGCCACAAACACACAGAGGGGTCTGGGTCAGGCTGCTGGAATCTCAGTTACCGCAGACCAGAATGACGTAATCTAAGGGATCGATAAGCTTTGGTCGATTCTTGCGTGAACATATGACTAAACGATTTTGGTGAGAGTGTTGAAATATACTAGTTACGCAACGTTTTCGAGTAGTATATCATGGAATATCCTACGAGTCACTTGATACAAGTGACAAGTAGGATACTTCATGGTATACCACGAGAAAGCGTTACATAACTATTTTACACCATGCCATAGAAAATACAGTGGTCAACAAAATCAATGGGACATACGCGCGGCACTTGATGGGAAGTCTGGGCGTAATACCGTCGAATATACAACGGCTTTCCTGTTTTCTAATTGGCTGTATTTTGTGTGGCGTGGTATAAACAGACATATTTTAAAGTAAGTGTTAGTACTTGAAAAGAATACCTGTATTTTCTTTGAAGCCTTTAATTTCATACCTTACAGCTGACTAGTGTTGAGCGGTACTGAGCCAATTATGTAATATAATGATTTTTGTTTAACAATGAGCTCTACAAGGCCTAGCAAGATTTACTTTCTTTCAGTCTCAATTTTTTTTTTCTTTTCGGTAACTTTCGTAAAGAAAGAAAGTTGGCTATGCATATTATTCTGCATCTTCATGTAAATACATAATATTTATATCGCACAATTGTCAAATATCTGTCGGTATTTGTAGGACCGTGGCCAGTATGAGGTAATCGAAACCGAGGCACTTACCTCAGCCATTTCTTTCGTTTTAGGCTTTTTATGGAGGGGTTGAAGGTAAAACACTGCTTAATACCAGGAAGAGAATTTAACCACAGTCTTTACCTTTTATCTTTTATGTATCGATATATCTACTATACATTTCAAGTTCGCGAAATTCTACTAAGAACTTTTCAGACGGACAATATATACTTGAAGTTCATACTGCACAAGTAATCGCGCAATATTGCGACCAGTAGTTTGTCAGTGCACGTGTTTTATGTAAACCAATTAATTCTTATAGCATGGGTGTAAAAATAAACGATATTTTTCTCAACAAAAGTGGTTCGCTCAATCACCTTATCTCGAAACAAACCACGCAGCCTTGCGAAAATATCAAGGATTTAAAAGAGTTATAGAAGCAAAAGAAGAGGTGCGGAATGAGGATGAGGGGTGGATTGGGTGGCAAGGTTGACCGGGGTGGTCATAAGGCATACGNAACTTGGCGCAACAGACGTATTTTAGAAGCATTGGGAAATTAACACTTGTAGGAATCCGCTGAACCGTGATGATGGCATACATTTGCCGCACGAATTTTTAAATTTAGCCCTAAGGGACAGAACATAATTAGCTCCGATTTGCATAGTATAAGAACGTGCCTTTTTAACAAATTCCTTGTCACTTTCCCTTGGTGAAGGCTGAAGTTTTAGCCGAAACGTTGGGACTTTTACAAAAAATTTTTACTAACATTTTTACATTTGTTTAAACCAGAGTAACGTTTTTCAGTCATGAATCAACCGCCTGGTTACAGGACCATTTTTAAAAGTTTTCCAACCAATTCAGCCGCTCGAAAATCACTGGTTTGCAGCACATACCGGCGCCATGTTCTACAAATATGAAAACGCAGCTTTATTTCTCCGACGTAGTGTGAATAAGGGCCTTATTCAATTTGACCCCAAAATTTGTTTCCTTGATACGCAGTGGTTTATTTTTACAGTGGATTTGTAAGTCATATAGAAATACAAAAGTGTTACAGAAGTTCGACGTGCAAAATGCAGAAAGAATATGCAAATTACACGCATTCTAGCTATTTTTGATTGCACCTCTTACGTTGTTTAGAAAGTTTTTTAAGGGGTTTTTCCACACACCTGGAGTATTTTATTCAAGCTAGTCAAATGCTTACTCAGGCAAAAGCAAGTTAGAGAATACCAGAAGTGTAACTTGCGTAAACAGGAACTTCGGTAAACCTCTTGCACTAGTTCTGTTCATTGTCGGTGAGTGGTGTCAGAATGTGGTTTGTAGCTCAGTGTTTCGCAAGCGTTGCAGCTATTTTCCACGTACCATATTCGACCGGTCGAGGTGAAATACGTTTCAAAACTCAAGTGATATCGTAGATTGCGTCTTCATCGAAGGTTTGTCGTCAAAATATGTTCTTATAAATCCGCCCAAAGCCCAAAATCTCCCACCGCTTTCGCTTGACACATTAAGAATTAAAAATATAGAAATATTTAACGATTATATAAGAGATTAAGATATGAGACACACTTAAATATTAAAAAGCAAAGCAAACAATTTAAACAAGTAAATTAAAAATTTAGATGATAAAATGGTCCAATTCCTTATAACTGTCCATAAAAGTGTATAAGTATTTAGCCACAGCTGACACCAACTTGAATGATCCTACTGTATTAAAAGGCTTAAATATTTACTATACTAAGATAATTAAAGTTACAATTCTAGAATAATTAGCAATTATTCGACAAGGTTGAGTAAAATATTGTGATTTGTCAGTGGCGAGCAGATCAATTATTTGCCGAAGTCGAACGCCGAGGCAAATAATTGATCTCCGGGACTGATAAATCACTATGTTTTGAGGTAACCGAGTTCAATAATTATTATTCTATCACCGTGGAGTTTTATTTTTACATCACTCTCTAACAGCTGAGAGAATATCTACCATTTTTACTCGAGAGTGTGGTTTCAATTACGCATGGCCAGAATATTGGCAGCAAAACACATTTGGCGGTGCTACGTATAAGCAGACCACTATTTGTAGGCAGTTATTTACTAGTCAGGTGGTGGGCTCTCGGCCATTGAAAAGGAAGAAAAACATGCATCAAATGATAATTAGACTAAATTATTTATAACGTCATCTGTTCACTAAAAAGGTTTACAGCAATTACTGTTGTAGGTTACATATTTTGATACATAAGGAAACGGCTAGTTTCCAAGGCAACATGAAAACAGTAACCTAAATATCTAAGCCGATATATTGTGATCGTTAATAGATCCTCATGATTGAGTTGGCAATAAATGCAACATAAAATCGGGTTTCTTACTGAACCCAAATTTTAGACATGTCTAAGAAGTAACTGTCCTTATCAGCCAGCTTCAAACTTCAAATTTATCTGATCTTTCTGGGCGCAAAGATCTTCGACCAGCTTCGCGGAAAACCCCCTTAATCTTTATAATGACACAAAGATGTTTTCGGTAAAATGTTTGCATAATAATGTTTGAGCGTTTAAGCGAAAAGCCTGTTTATAATTGCTCCGGTTTCAGTTACGAAATACATACCTCTTGAATCGCGGAAATAAGCATTCACGACGCAGTCAAAGTCGAACCGGCTGAAGAAAAACCGAGTACCTTGGTGCTCCTGAAAGAGATGGAGGTATGTGCTAGTTTTCCACATGCACGTTCAGGTCGAATTTTGATTCTTACTTCTCTTAAAGAGTTCAAATTGATCGGATGAAAGTCTGTAATTGTACACTAAATTAGCTCCGTACAGCTAGTGTTTCCTGAGGTATTGACTATTTACCCATGAAAGTGACTGAAGAAATACCGGCTTGATATCCGGTCTGCTCTCAGCCAACATAAGTTGTGCACACATATAAAAGGATTCGGAGGTGCAGTCGTCTCCGGATCGAGCGGTCCGGGTTCTAGCCCTGGCCGGGGGTATTGTGTTGTGTTCTGGGGAAAAACACGTTACTCTCTCATTGCCTCTCTTCACCCAGGTGTATGAACGGGTACCGGCGACCTTAATACTGTGGGTAACCCTTCGGTGGATTAGCATCCCATCCAGGGGGGGAGTAGAAATACTCCTAGTCGCTTCATGCTACGGGAACCGGGATAAGCTCCGGCCTCATGAGCCACTTAGCTCGTATGCAGACTTTGCCTACTCTACCTTACTTATAAAAGCGGAACTGGGACCAATTTTAATTTTACAAAATAAGGTTCTCAAGGTGATTGACTTTTATGGGTAACGGCGAACTCGATGATAAACCCTGTATTTTTACAAAATAAGGTTCTCAAGAGTGATTATATTCGGTTCAGCAGAGCCTCGCGAGCAGAGCAGCAAGTTAGAATCTAACTTGATTACTATTCACGGTGTTTCAGCAACGAGGAAGGAAAAAACACCATTAGACGTACTTGTGCTGTTTCCTTCTACCACGCTGAACATCTTGGATCCATAACAATTTTCGATATTGTGGCGTACTTGACCAGTTACAAAAAGAAAGTAGATCAGGATTAAAATCATGGACAAAAAAAGTGTTTCGAAAGTTGTTTACGATAATCTTGAATTATCGTTCTCTGTATTGTTGGAGACAATTGTTCCATTCAAAGTGAATGCCGTCTGTTTGATAAATTCCGTTTTTCACTTTTTGTGTACGAACTGAAAAAACACCTAAACACATTGCTGGAGCTATCGGCTAATCAGCATCGGCACAGGTGAATAACTGAAACAAAGTCATGCGTACCGTAAAATCGTCACTACGCCTGTGTTGTTTACTACCTTTTGCAAAGGATTTTTTGGGGGGGGTAGGAGGGAAGGGCTCCCAGGGAAGCTTAATAGTGGGAGATTATGACTGGTACTCTATTTAAAATCATAATTTAGCCAGAAAACAGCATAATGTTGTTCAGTGCGTGGCAATTTCGAAAACGTTGATGATGCTTCAAAATATTTTTTCTCCCGTTCACAGTGTTGGATTGCTATCTTATGAGGTGGGGCGTGGGAGATTAATATAAAAGTGTGCTGATAAATATACTGAAATTGAAAGCAGAGATAACAAAAAATTTTTTCTTGTGTTTTTAGAATGAGCCACAGCCTGGTACATTTTCTGCTCCTTTTGTAACCACTTCAGCCGCTCTAAAATCATTGGGTTGTGTCACATACGCCCTGTTCTACATCTGGCAAGTTATCGGTTTGATCCTGTACACCATTCGTGCCTTTGAAACGAGTCTCTTGGCGAAACATACCAGCTTTCAGTCGACGTACATCCCGACGTTTCATCACTCTGAACAACTGCAGCTGGCCTGGTCCATGTCTCAGATACTTAACAATGCCTTGGTTATTCTGGCTGTGTCAAAGGTTCCCTCGTTTCTGGGCTGTACCGCCATCCTAAGATTGCTTATTCGTCTACCGGGGTTTTGGAGTCTTCTTTCCTTGTTTGTAATGACTATTGTAGGCTATGGAATGATTCTCTCACTGGCAAATAACAAAATGGAAATCGCTTTGATTATGGGTTTTGCGATCGACAATGGAATTCAAGTCGTCTTAATTTGCCTTCTTAATTTCACCCAGGTAAACCACTCTCGAGGAGAATTTCCTTTTAAAGTGTTTTGTTTTGTTAAGATAAACATATTCCTTTTGGTTCTGTCGTATTTCTCAACTTTTGTGATTGGCTCGGTACAGTTTTCTCTTCGTGTTTATGGTTTTGATGAGAACACGGGAATTTCTGATGAATTTCGCGCTTTATTTATCGCAGTACGGAGATTTACGCAGATTCTATACTGCTACAAAATCTTTGTATTTTACTGGGAAAAGTTCCTTGTTGATCATAGGAATATCCTACAGTGTCGCTACGATTATTTAGATGAGTTACACGAAAGCAGTGCCACAAACACACAGAGGGGTCTGGGTCAGGCTGCTGGAATCTCAGTTACCGCAGACCAGAATGACGTAATCTAAGGGATCGATAAGCTTTGGTCGATTCTTGCGTGAACATATGACTAAACGATTTTGGTGAGAGTGTTGAAATATACTAGTTACGCAACGTTTTCGAGTAGTATATCATGGAATATCCTACGAGTCACTTGATACAAGTGACAAGTAGGATACTTCATGGTATACCACGAGAAAGCGTTACATAACTATTTTACACCATGCCATAGAAAATACAGTGGTCAACAAAATCAATGGGACATACGCGCGGCACTTGATGGGAAGTCTGGGCGTAATACCGTCGAATATACAACGGCTTTCCTGTTTTCTAATTGGCTGTATTTTGTGTGGCGTGGTATAAACAGACATATTTTAAAGTAAGTGTTAGTACTTGAAAAGAATACCTGTATTTTCTTTGAAGCCTTTAATTTCATACCTTACAGCTGACTAGTGTTGAGCGGTACTGAGCCAATTATGTAATATAATGATTTTTGTTTAACAATGAGCTCTACAAGGCCTAGCAAGATTTACTTTCTTTCAGTCTCAATTTTTTTTTTCTTTTCGGTAACTTTCGTAAAGAAAGAAAGTTGGCTATGCATATTATTCTGCATCTTCATGTAAATACATAATATTTATATCGCACAATTGTCAAATATCTGTCGGTATTTGTAGGACCGTGGCCAGTATGAGGTAATCGAAACCGAGGCACTTACCTCAGCCATTTCTTTCGTTTTAGGCTTTTTATGGAGGGGTTGAAGGTAAAACACTGCTTAATACCAGGAAGAGAATTTAACCACAGTCTTTACCTTTTATCTTTTATGTATCGATATATCTACTATACATTTCAAGTTCGCGAAATTCTACTAAGAACTTTTCAGACGGACAATATATACTTGAAGTTCATACTGCACAAGTAATCGCGCAATATTGCGACCAGTAGTTTGTCAGTGCACGTGTTTTATGTAAACCAATTAATTCTTATAGCATGGGTGTAAAAATAAACGATATTTTTCTCAACAAAAGTGGTTCGCTCAATCACCTTATCTCGAAACAAACCACGCAGCCTTGCGAAAATATCAAGGATTTAAAAGAGTTATAGAAGCAAAAGAAGAGGTGCGGAATGAGGATGAGGGGTGGATTGGGTGGCAAGGTTGACCGGGGTGGTCATAAGGCATACGGGGGCTTTTACACGCAGACAAACACGAACTTTTCGACCAGCGAAGGAAACTTACAAAAGATAAAAAAACGATGAAATTTATAACTTCAAATAAACGACAGTTCGTATAACTCTTGGAAAGTGTTGAATAAAACAAACCAACAAACAAACAAACAAAGACAAATCAAGAATCACACACTCGTCTACGCCTCGTGCTTCGTTACGTGATTTCCATCATCATCACGTCAGACCGACCAATCAGAGACCAGCGGGACTAACCGAGGAAAATGGAATGATATTTTCCGATCAAACCGGGCCGACCAAGAGGAATGACTCTTGCCATTTTCTATTCCTCTCCCCAATCCACCACGTAAGTGAAATCTTCTGAAGAGAGGAAGGGCAGTGAACCGGTTTGTTAAAGTGGAACGGCGATTTCGCTCCGACCGGTCCGACCGACCAAAGTGGACCAGTTCCAGAGGTGGTCCCGAATATTCCATTTGACTTCCGACCGAAAGTTCCGGAATATTTTAGCATGATGGAAAGCACGCACGTTTTCATGGTTTCGTCAATGATACCAAAACCATTATGGCGCCAGCGTAAATACGGTTCTCAACCGGTTCTCGGTGACTCAGCATATCTTCCACCCGTGCGTGGCGAAATGTTTCACCCATTGAGAGAATTTCAATCAAGGGATTTTACAGGTTTGCAGTAACATAATGCCGCATAGTATGTGAAGTATTACCTGAGCTTGTTTTCTGTCAAACTACCCAAGACTACAGACGCGATAGAACGAAAGAGAAGTTTTAGACCATAACTTACGAGAGACTTAGCACTTCCTGTGACAGCTTGATTGGTAAGCGTACGGAGACCAATCCTCATTTAAGTAATCATATGCGGCGAGATCACGTTTTTTATTAACTCAATGGGTTCATTTTCGTGAATAAATAGAAATTTCTGGAAGCATTTTCTAGCGACATACAAAGGAAATTGCTCAAGTAATTAAAGGCATTGGCTGAGATGTTACGTCTTAGTCTGGTAGCGCTGAGGCAGCAATGGTCGATTAATTTTAGCTTTATTGACGGTTTTTCTATAAGCAAGCGTCTTTTCTCTCTTTCTTTGTCATCGCTCTCTTTTTCGAAAAGATTTCTGAGAGCTCTCTAGTGTAAGCCTGGAAGTTACACCGTGTTTTGATTTGAACAATTTAGGTCTGACTACTCAAATGCGTTCATTGGCGCTTCTTGTAGTCTAGAGCGAGTGAAAACGGCAAGCGACGGCCGATGGTAAAACTCCAGCGCCAAACAATGGTTAAAAATATTGGAAGAGTATTAAAAAACAGGGTTATTTTCATACTGACGACGTATTTTTACCAAGTTTCCACGTGTTAACTTCTCTGGAGTAACAAATTTGAATAATTGACCAAACGAGAGGAGTCCGCTATTAACATGCAAGGAAGAAGATTGTTGAATTAGTTTGCCAATTAAACCAACAAGAAAAACGCTCGATTGGGAGGGTTTCATTAGGCCTGCCAGTCATCCATAAGCGACAAGAAACCAAAATAAACAAATTTTACACCAGCTGCCTTCTTGTTTTCGAAATATACCCTACAAGTTAATCTGCCCAGTGTTACTGACGTCGAAATAATTTTCTACATGATTTGGTTCTTTCCGTACTTTGCGCAATATAGTGTTCTGATTATCGAAGACGACAAGTAACAAATGTTTTTCTAGCAATCTGTCGAATCAGGCACCGGATACGACTAGAAAAAATTACTTTGATCAGCGAAAAATCAACTGAAGTGTAAACTAACAGTTTGATCGCCAAAAGAGGCTTCCATCAAGTGACGCCTCCTTGAAAACGAGGGCAGTCTTAATACGTGGTCCAATACGAATCTTACTGAAAACAAAAGAAGCCGTTTCGAGGCTTAGGGAAATAATATAAGATAACTATTTCGTTCCCGAAGCCTCGCAATCAAGTGGAAATTTGGTATTATTGCTGATGTATCCATGACGACTAAACACTCACTTATCATGTTGTGACGGTGAGAATCCATTTGGCAGCCGTGGTGAAAGGTGGGTTTTGTAAACTGTAAGACATACGTACGATAAAACTAATAAGCAAATGGGTTTTTTGCTTCGTTACTCGAAGGAAACTAATAGATATAATGTATTATGGTTTTCCGTATGAAACCAAGTCAATTTTCAACTCTGTCCTATTTTTTTCAATGTCCTTCAGCTCGTAGTCTGCGAGTTTTACTGCACTGTAGGTTTGTCTTGGTTTTGTTCAAAATTCATATCTAGAACAAATATTGCATTCTGGCAATTAACAAACGACGTTGTTTTACTGCGGAAACTGTTTGATTATGAACCATGCATCCATGAGACGGACAACTGATATCACGGCGAACAGAGAAAGAAAGAAAGATTATTTAGCATTTTTAATAAGTCAATACTCAAACAGAACAAAATTTAACAGATCAGCTGCCTTGGGGATTAAAAAATAACCATAGCGAAAATAGAAAAAATTAAAAGTTCGAAATTGTTGGGTTATCCTCTTACAAACTCGGTCGTATTCATGATAAATACGAGCGGGCTTGTTTTATACAATGCACAACCGATGATAACTAAAGGCCATCTGCTTTGATGAATC